CCCTGCTCGGCAGGGAGTCTGCTTCTCCCTCTGACCCTCCCCCCTCTCATGTGCTCTCTCTCTCTCATTCTCTCTGTCTCAGATAAATAAATAAAAATCTTTAAAAAAAAAAAAAAAGATTTCAGGGGGGTGTGATTAGAAAACCAATTTCTGAAAAGGTTCCTTATAGGAGTCGATAATGAAAAAAAAGAGAGAGAGAGAGAAACATTGATCTAGACAGTGGTTCGTGGCTGGAGACGAATCAAAATCACCTGGATATCTCTTAAAGAATACACAGGCCTGAGGCTACCCCACACCGCAACCACAGAGGCGGGGGGCTGGGAAAACGAGAAATATGGCCAGTGTTCCCAGGGAACTCTAATAAGGACATAGGGCCCATCCTACAACCATATTTCAACATTCTCTGCTCATTGCACCAAACATTGTTTTCAAATTCCTCCTCTGTAAATGCCTTCAGAAACCAGTATAAAATTTTTATTTAAAGACTTCTCCTACAAAAACAAAACAAAAACAAACTTCTCTTACTATTCCATTTTAACAAAAACACCTAATTTTATTAATTTATATTAGGTAAGCATATGTAGTTAATGTCTGGCACATAATAAACAATAAATGATAATTACTCCTATTATTAATACTGCTGTTGATGCTACTGCTACTAAAAATAAGAGAAATCTTCAAAGAACCTGATTTGTATTTCTATAACATTAATAAAAATGTCTTCCGAAGGTGCACCTTTGCCCATATGCATATATATTTTATATAGCTTGTCCTTAGTCACACTTCCCTCTGATCAAAACCAGAACCATTAGGCCTAACGAGCCAGTTTATTTATCAGACTTGGCATCAACTAACTTCATTTCTGATTGTTTAACCAAAATCAAATCCATCCTTGAAAGAAGTTATGTCATTTAAGATAGTAAGAGATCCATCTTAAAAATCAATTTTCTCTCCATACCCACCCCATAAGGAAATCTGTAAAACTGGTTTTACTTTTTATCTTTGAGATTTAAATCTCAACCTCTTAGCCACCATATCAGTGTTTTAGGGAGAAACCAGGGGTTGACAGATACCAAATAATTTGCCTAGAATCCCCGACATCCCGGCAAGGGAACAGAGCTCAAATTTCACAGCCTTTAAATGACACATTTCTCACGTTCTATTTAACTACACAGTCCTGAGTTTCCAGGCTTCCCGTGAACTCTGAAACAGACCGGGAAGGAAAGCAATGAAAAGCTTCCCTAAATCTCTCATCGGTCTCGGTCATATGTCCATGTCAAATTCTGAGCCAGGAATCTGGAGGGCATTTTTAGGGGATGTGTTAGTCTTGGCCCCTCTGCTGGAGTCCGCTTTGTGAAGCATGAGTGAGAGGCGCTGGGCCTGCAGTGCGGGTAAGTGCTGTTCTTGGGGATGGGAGCCCTGGCCAGCCTCGGTGCCTCTCCAAGTATGGATTCCATTTTAAAAAATTGGACGGGTGGGGCGCCTGGGAGGCTCAGTTGGTTAAGCGTCTGCCTTTGGCTCAGGTCATGATCCTAGGGTCCTGGGATCAAGCCCCACATCGGGCTCCCTGCTTGGCGGGGAGCCTGCTTCTCCCTCTCCCTCTGTGCCACAGCCCCTGCTTGTGCTCTCTCTCTCTCACATAAATAAAATCTTTTAAAAAAATTGTGATGGTTGATGGGAAAGTGAAGGGGGCCTTGAGAAAAGACACATGAATTAGAGGAAATCTGAAGCCTATTAAATGATGCCATTAAGACCTATCTCACCAACAACATGGGGAGCCCCTGAACAGTAATGTTTCTGTGATACCAAAAATCCTGCTCTGAATAGAAATGGGAGAATCGGGGCACCTGGGTGGCTCAGTCGGTTAAGTGTCTGCCTTCGGCTCAGGTCATGATCCCAGAGTCCTGGGATCGAGCCCCGCATCAGGCTCCCTGCCTGGCGGGGAGTCTGCTTCTCCCTCTCACACTCCCCGTTTTTGCACTCGCTCACTCTCTCTCACACATGCTCTCTCTCTCAAATAAATAAAATCTTAAAAAAAAAAAAGTAGAAATGGAAGAATCACCTTGCCAATCTTAAGCAAGTTTAAGAGGGCACTTACTTTTTGACAATTTTGTTGCGCTTGGCTTGAGAGAAGTTTTCAAGCTGAAGGGACTCGTGGGTGAGAAATGCTACTGCCAAATGGAAGTAATTGTTCCAGAGCTGCTCAAAATTGATTGTGTGGGTGAAAAGAAATGGAAAATAACATTAATATGGGTCAGAGTAAAACAGTGCCACATGGTAGAAATTTACTCACAGGGAGTAAGGAAAGAAACAAAATAAAATCCACCAGGCCCCTTTTCCTTTCTCGTGTTTCAGTTATTCAACCCTGAAAGTTTTAACACTTACTATTAAGCTTTTTTTTTTTTTAATCCAGACTATTCTATTTGTCTTTACTCCTGAGATAGGGGAAAACTGCTGCCAAGAAGTGCACCTATTTATAGTGAGTAGTTTGGCAATATATATCAAAAGCCTTAAAATTCTGCCAACTTCTGAAATAGTAAATACTTTAGGACTTTATCCTGGCAAAATAATCATGGGTATTTAAAAATATTTAAAGCAAGGAAGGCCTTCACAGTGTTACTTAAATAACAGAAGACGGAAACAGTCTAAATGTTCATAAGAAGAATTTGGTTAAATAAATCATGGCCCAGCCATGCAACGGACTGTACTCAGCCATTAAAAATACTGTGAAAACATTTAATATCATTGAAAAGATAGAAAAAAATTATATTAATAGGTTGCCAAAGAACTGCACAGCTTGATTCCACTTTGGCATATATATATATATATACACACACACACACACACACACATACGTACATACACATACATACACACACACATATATATTATTTCTAACCAGCAAATATAGATATTCCATTTTAGCTCATATAGACACACACACATACGTATGTATATATAAGTACATATATAATCTCCTCTTCTGATGACTCTCCACTCTTAAAGTTCCACAGATATAAACAAAGCCACATGACACAGCAAAAGCACATCACCAAGAACTGTTTGCACCATGGGAGCAGGGAACTTGTCTGCCTTCACCAGGGCCTAGAATGGTACCCTGTGCCTATAATTACCCGCATATTTGTTGGATGAATGAAGATGGAGCTAGAGGTCACTTGTTTCACTACCACTTTGGATTTTCACACAAGTGTGTATATGAACCCCTCCTTAGAAACGAAACCACTCGTAGGCAGAGAAATGTCTGCATGTCCATCTGCAAGCACATGTGTATGTGTGTATTTGTGTTACATTAACAGCAGAAGGTAGGATTATTTGTCTTTCAATTTTTTTCTTTTTCCTTAGCCATATTTTCTACTATTACTTTAAAAAAACAAAACAAACCTGTATTAGTTATACAGAAAAAAAAAAACTCTACTTGATTGTGTTTGGAGGACAGAGTGACAGGAATGTGTGCTTAAGGGAAAGGAGAAAAAACAAGAAAACTGTTTGCACTTGAAAATGATAAAATTTGAAGTGACATTTTCCAAAATGCCACAGTTGTCTTGCTGTGGCTGAGAATTCAAGGAGCTTCCTAGGTGAGCAGCATGCTTACCTGAAGTTCAAAGCTTGTCTGATCCATAAAGAACTTTGTGAGAACCTCAGTAAACTGATTTATCGCACGGAGGAAAACTCTGTGGAAGGAAAATATCAGATAAGGAAGGCAACTTTCTGCTCTTCCAAACATCTCCCATCTACGTGAAAAACCAAAGCAAACTAAACCTGGATTTGGCAACATGAGACCCTTAGCTCTATCAAGGTCATCAGAGACCAACGCCAAAGTAGACTGCAGAGGACACTCAAGTGCAGTTTCTAGAACTGACTACAAGAGCCACTCAAGGCTGCATCACCATTTAGCCACTTGAGGGTAGAACTGGGATGATCAAACAGATCCCCTGAGCCTCAGACAGGGTTCTTTGCACTCTATTGCGATGCTTCTCTTTGCAAGTCTAGTGATACTGATGAGAGTTTTTCTTTAATCTGTACGTAGTTGGGAAGGGTTTTTCTAATCAGGTATGTGGAGTTAACAGCTCTTATAATGGTTTACTTTATTTAGTTCTTTCAAAAAATTCTGAAATCTTATTTGATATCTATAAGTGTGTATATGTATATATACACATATATATACATATCACACACACACACACACACACATATATACATATATATAAAACTCTGAAACTCTGAAAAGATACATATATTCAGTTCATTTTGCTCCCATTCACCAAGTATTTGTTACAGTCCAACAACTGCAAAGCACTGGCTTAGGTTTCGCCTTGAAAGAGAGGGTTCCTGGTCTGAAGATGTTTACAACTCGGTGGGGGTCACTTGTGAATCTGTAAATCTAACCATGACCCAACAAAGAATATGGAAAATTCGGTGGAAGGGGTATCGAAGAGGTACGGGGCATCAAAGGAAGAGAATGCCACATCCAGGTCAGAAAGGCTTCCTCTGGAAATGGCATTTGAGAAGGACGTTGAATGGTGCCATGCTGACAGCCAGCGGTTACATGGGAGGGCACCGCAGGTGGAAGAAGCAGCCCAACAGAAGGCACAGAACACATCCAGGGACCAGGAAGAGGCCAGTTTGGTTGGAGTGCAGGCTGTATACTGAGGGAAAGAGTGGAAGGTAAGGCTAGAAAAGCAGGGTGGGCCAGGCCACAGAGGCCCTGCCTGTCCTGACGACGAAGGCCACATGGAGCCACGGAAGGGTGCTGTGGGAGAGCCGGGGAGGAGGTGGACAGGAGGGCAATGAGGAGATTCCACCAGAGCTGAGAGCCCGAGGCGGGGCAGCTACAACAGCACAGGGGAAAGCAAGAACGCGAGCCCAGAACGAGCATCCCAGCAACGGGAGGCTCCTTACTCTACCGAGCATGATGTCCCGCCCAGAGATTCAACAGCACTCTCTGAAGGTCAGATAACTGGTCACCTGGTCACGAGAGCCAAGTATTCAGGGTCAAAGGCCGCAGGCCCGGCCCCGGGCCATCTTACCTGCTCTGTGTCATATTCATGACCATCCAGTCTTTGGCATAGACATTCTTTCCAATCAGATCCTTAAACATGATGAAAGTCTCCATGAGGAAATCCTGCAGAGAACAGAGGAGGAACATCTGGGGGAAAACTAGGGGACAGGAGGGAGCGTGGCATCAGAACAAGACATCGCTGGTCCATGATTACGGCCTATCTTTTAAATAAGGGTTTTTAGGGACCTGACAAGGACAAAAATGATAAAACTGAGGCTGTGAAAAGGTAAAAGACTTGCTGAGGGCTGTAGAGACTGGGTGGTGGGAGAGCGGGAAAGAGAATGTGGGGTTCTGGACCCCAAAGTTAGAGCCATGGTGTCTTTAGCCCTCTGCTGCCAAGTTTGTCCAAACAGATCTACTGCACTTAAAATGAATTTACCAGCAATTGTGATACATCTTGTAACTCTGAGCCCAATTCTCCTTTATTATTATTAGAACAGAAGAAAACCACTATAAATAAAAAGCAAAGTCATGATTCTTCCTATTCCAGAAACGTTCCCAGGGGTAGCTTGGGAAAGGGCCTAAAGGGTCCTAAAAAAGTGTCAGTAGCAGTGGGTTGCGATGACAGTAATAACTTAATAACAAAAGAACACAGAGCACAGTATCTGCAGAACAGCTATTCGACTCAAAAGGGGACTGTGAGCAAAAAGCAACTTAGAATGATTTGGACTAGGGGCGCCTGGGTGGCTCAGTCGTTAAGCGTCTGCCTTTGGCTCAGGTCATGATCCCAGGGTCCTGGGATCGAGCCCCACATCGGGCTTCCTGCTCTGCGGGAAGCCTCCTTCTCCCTCCCCCACTCCCCCTGCTTGTGTTCCCTCTCTCGCTGTGTCTCTCTCTGTCAAATAAATAAATAAAAATATTTAAAAAAAAGAATGATTTGGACTAAAAGTCAAAGCTAAAAAGTTTTGAAAGCCTTTTATTTATTAGTTAGTTAAATTTAGACATTTTCCACGTGGATTCCGGAGTTGAAAATCCAGGCCAATTCCTCTGGCACTAAACCGCACAGTTCTATCTCATGGATTACATCATGTAGCAGAAGGAGTGCGGGAGTTGGGAAGCAGGCGGCCTGGGTTCTATTTTCAAACACTGTTCCTCCAAGACGGTGGGCAAGATGGCCAACTTCCGGCACGCAGGCCACCAGACAGCACCGGAGTGCCAACAATCCTGGTGGGAAGTCTCTGCGACCCTTGACTCTTCCTCCGGCTCAACAGAGAGTCAAACTTTTCTATCCTCAATTCTCAAACCATAGACATACCTCATGAGTTTTAAAATTTCTCATCATACATTTGAAGTATACCCACCAATTTATTAACTATTCTATTAACTCTCTCAAATCAGTAAGTATTCGTGGTTTGTGAAGCAAGGATTAAGTTAAGAGGCTGGTTATCCACTCCTGATGCCGATTCTACATTCAACTCCTGGTAAACTAATTTAACTGGAAATAGCGATGGTATAATAAAGGTAATTGACAGACGGTCCCAGGCCTTACTCTACCTCCCGCTTCCCAATGTCTTCCAAGTGATTTACTCAGAAGGCAGCAGGAGGGCGGGAAAGGGCCGTCCGCTGGAAGTCAAATGGCCTACGTGTACGCCGCAGGCTTGCCCCTGATGACAATCGTTCCCTCATGCGGATAATAATCCTTTTTAAGTTAGATAATACAGGGGAAAGAGCTTACCATTGTTTGGAAGACAGGGGTTAAACCTGGGTTTTTTTGCTTACTTAATGGAACCAAATTGTCAAGAGCTTGAATTTAGTTTAACTTCCCTCGTTCTACCTGCCTTCTGAAGGAATGGTCACTAGACTATAATAATAAAATTTTTATTATTATATAATAAAAGAGAATAATAAAATCACTACTATAGATAGCTGGCTTCATAGGCATTAACCACATGCCAAGCACGAAGCTTGGTAATTACCAGGTGTCGATTCAATCAATACTCATTTACGTTAACCCTCAAAATAGGTGCTAGCTTATAGATAAGGAACCTGCACTTTAGTGAAGCTAAACAGCTGGGCCAAATTTCATAGAAGGAAGTAGAATGGCCAGAATGGATGTTCTAAAGTCTGTGTTCTTAAGCCACCGTACCTTCTGCCTACGGAGGAGAAATACTGCTACCCTCAGCTTCCCTCCTCTGTTCCTAGTTCTCTTGCCCTTGGTCTCCGCAGGCACAGTGACCTATCGCCATGGGTCCCCACACCATCCTGCCTGCCAGAGCATGGCTTAAGTGGAGGCTCATGGAGGCCTCCAGATTAAGCCACACGCCATTACTACCACTACTGCTCCTACAAAAGACGCTCTCTCTGCCGTTCCTTGTGTGCTTTTCCATCATGTGGACCTCACAGAAAGGAAGGCGATTGGCAGAGAAGGAGCTGAATATCCTTGGGGGTACAGGCCACATACTACCAGTATAGTACAGATAGAAGGTAGAAAGAAGACTGGAAAATGCACGGATGGTGGGAGATTGTCCACAGCAAGGACACTGGATTGTTGATCCAGCTGTGTTGGGCCCACTGCTTTACAAGGTAAGATGATACTTTCAGGCACTTGTTAACAGCCACTAACAATTCCCTGAGGGGAAGGATCCTGGGGAAGCAGCCCGAGGCCTAACTTTGCGTCTTGGGCAACCTTTGGTTGTATTCCGAATAGTAATCACGAGAACAGTTTTCTGGTTGAAAACAAAAGAGAATGGAATATTGTCAACTGAAGGTGACTATACTTGCCAGAGGGCAAATATCGCCTTAGAGGTGTTATAAGGGGCAAGTATGACCTCTTCTTGTTTCCCTTTCCAGGGACTACTGAAAAGGATGATGCCAACCACATCTCCGAAGCAGTACTGTGCACTCTCTGCCTCCTAGAATCCTGGCGATGGCGTTAACAGCTAACTCCGAAAACAAGGTACTACTCTCTTCTGAGAGCAAAACAGACCTCCCAAATGGTTCCAAATAAGGGTTCTCTCTAGATCCAAGAGACTCAGAGGGCGGGTGAGGGCCTCTTGGTACATGTTTTGTAGTCTTCAAATGCTATCACAGAGAGAAAATAAGAATCAATCCTTCCCTTTTTGTACTCACTGTGGACAGTCATGCAACTCTGGAGGTGGGTGGGAAGGGAATTCTGGACTCATGATGCTCAGTTCTGTTTTTGTTTTTGCCCAATATAAGAAGTCTTAGCGTTACCAGGACCCAGTGAAGACAACTTACAACGAGGTCTTGTCTGGTCTTGAAAGTGCTGATGTAGTGGCCATAGTGACTGTCATCCATCTGCCGCAGGGTCGCAATCATACACGCCACAAAGCTCCCCTGGAAGGACAGGAGAGACACAGATCCAGACCCCTCAGACCACCCGCTGACAGACCAAGGTCTGTGCGCAGGTACTCTGGCTGTCTCCTCCCAGTTACCGAAACAGGGACCCTACCAACCTGGAAACATTGCGCGTGCTGAAAGCCTAAAACGCACTCGCTTTGCTGTTTCTGCTTAAAATAACCTCCTCCAGGTTTGAGTTAAGGAATGTGGAGGGCTCTGCTCGGCCCTTTAATAGTATGACTTGCAGAGTCCCATAGGTCAACGGACACCGACTCCGAGATCTCAGCTAGATCACTAGTTGAAATACCACCGCCTGGGGCCTTTGAGTTTCTTGCTGAGACAGAGTTGTAGTCCGTGGAGAAATGTCTGATATAGCACAAATTTAATTTTGGAGGAATGCAAGGAGGAAAAAGAGATTGTAAAACCGAGAGCAGAAGAGCAGAGAGATGGGGAAATGAGTGCTCCCAGCTAGAGCACTTCAATGTCGTTCTTCCAGTAACAGAATCCTTCAGACAGTTACTTCCAGCATGTTATGCATGTGTGATTACACACGGGGTTTGAAGAAAGGGACTGAATAACTTGATGATTAACATCAATTTATATTTTTGAAGTCAGGCATTACACAGTCTATGTGCTTTCCCCTCATCCAATCATATTTGAATCACACACTTAGTTTTCTGGCCAGAGGGCAAATATCTAGGGGGAATGCCCTCCTGTATTTATATGGTTATTTAAATGAATTGGCATAGAGAAGATGAATATACAGCTATTTTGGGGATGGAAGGAATGACTTCCTAAACATAAAAACAATGAAAGAATACTCTCTGAATGAATGCCTTAGTCTTTTTGGTTTAAAAAGTTTTAACTTTTCTTCCTTTTTTTTTTTTTTTAAAGATTTTATTTATTTATTTGAGAGAGAGAGAATGAGAGAGAGCAAGCACATGAGAGGGGGGAGGGTCAGAGGGAGAAGCAGACTCCCTGCCGAGCAGGGAGCCCGATGCGGGACTTGATCCAGGGACTCCAGGATCATGACCTGAGCCGAAGGCAGTTGCTTAACCAACTGAGCCACCCAGGTGCCCTAACTTTTCTAATTATAAAAGCAATGTGAATTTATTGTCCAAAGACTTCTGATATACAGTACCAACCACAGAGTCTGCATTCCCGTCATTATCTAATACTACTTGCTTCTCCAGGCCTTTGCCTATTCTGGGTCTTTGCGTTTTATTTAATTTCATTTTTGGTTAATTTGCATTTCCTTTGTTCCGAATTACATATTCTGTCTCTTTGTTGGTTGGCCATTTGTTTTTCTCATTTTGCTGTTTGCTCATATTCTTTACCCATTTTTCTACTAAAATATCCTTTTTTTTAACGGTTTGTAATAGGTCTTTGTATATTAAGGCTATTAGCCACGCGGCACAGATTTTACAAATAATTTTTGGAGTTTGGTGCTTGACATTTAATTTGCTTATATATATATTTTCACATATAGGGGCTTAGTTTTTTATCTAGTAAACTTTATCTTTTTTTTATAGTAGCCTTCCTATTTTTAAAAATTCATGAATCTCTTTTCTCTTAAAAATAGGTATAGAAAAAGAGGTATGGGTGAATGGAATTAAGAGCACACTTATCATGATAAGCACTGAGAAATGTATAGAATCATTTGGATTTTGTTTTTTTTTTTTAAGATTTTATTTATTTATTTGACAGAGAGAGACACAGTGAGAGAGGGAACACAAGCAGGGGGAGTGGGAGAGGAAGAAGCAGGCTTCCTGCAGAGCAGGGAGCCCGACGTGGGGCTCCATCCCAGGACCCTGGGATCATGACCTGAGCCGAAGGCAGACGCTCAACGACTGAGCCACTCAGGTGCCCCTAGAACTGTTGAATCACTATTTTGTACACCTGAAACTAACATAACCTCTGTTAATTATAATGGAATTTTTAAAAGTATAGATTATGTTTTCTTCTAGCTGCTTCATTTTTTTTTTTTCACATTGAACTTTCATTCCATCTGAAATTTATTTTTTTGGATATAGCATGAAATAAAAGTCAAACTTTTTTCCACATTGTTCATATATTTTCCAAATCACATTTACTAAAAATCTTCACTTTCCCTATTGAAAGGTAATAGAATTTTCATATACTCTAAAGTCGCCTTTTAAATTCTCTCAGTTCTGTTCTGTGGATTTACGTACTCTATTCCATAAGTCCAACACTATTTTAATTCTTGTAGCTAATTATAACATTTTCAAATCTGACAGGCAAGCCCCCCACTATTCTATGTGGCTATTCATTTATGTGTATCTTGTATTTATTTTCTTAAAAGTTTTAATTTATTTATTCATTTAACAGGGGGCTCAAACTCACAACCCCGAGATCAAGAGTTGCACACTCTTCTGACTTAGCCAGCCAGGCGCCCCATCTTGTATTTATTTTTACTCTCATATTTTTGTGACTGAGTTAAATGGGATTTTTCTTTTACAATCCCTAAATAGCTACTGTAGTTATATAGAAAGGCCATTGAATAGTGTTTGTTTATTCTGAAACTGGTCAGTTTAATAAATTGTTCATTACTGTTGTTAAAATTTTGTTAGGTCCCTTGGGTTTCCTAGAAATGGTAGTCATTTCACTAAAAATGACAATTATGAAAATTATTTCCTCCTTTTTCAATAGTCATACTAAGGTCATATATATAATATGTATATGTGCACGCATTTGTGTTATTACATTGGCTACAATTTACAGAAAAATGTTAAACAGTGTTGACATTTAACATCTTGATTCTCCTTTTTATGACCATCAAGTAATAGGTTGCCTAGTGATTGCATGTTAACATCTCCTTCCATTAATTTGGAATAGATGCTACATCCATCACATATATTTTGGCATCTATGGAAATAGTCATAAAGCTTTTTTCCTTTTGTTCAACTGATGTATTTTATTAACAGATCCTTTACTGAAAATATTTTTTTTCTTTTTTTCTTTTTTTTTAAAGTAGGCTCCATGCCCACTGGCGGGCTTGAACTCACGACTCTGAGATCCAGGCCTGAGCTGAGATCAAGAGTCAGATGCTTAAACGACTGAGCCACCCAGGCGCCTCTAATGGGTCCTCTAATACTTAACTATTCTTGAGTATGAGAATAAGCTCAATTAAGCCACATATATCATATTCATTCACTTATTTATTTGCATATTTCTCTTTGTGGCTGTATTTTTGTCTCTTTGTCTGTTTTTTCCCTTGCTTTTCTCCTTACTAGGTTTATCTTTCTCCAGCATTCTTTCTTTGCTTTTCTTGGCATCTTTACCACTCCCGTATATCAGCTATTACCCCTCCCATCATCTTATTTTAACAGAAACATGACAGGGATCCTGCTCCTTCACATTCAAATCCCCACCCTTCTCTTCAAACACACTGAGCCAAGATTCTTGAGTTGGCTTAAACAAGTAAGATAATGAATGATTTCACTACTAAAAGAAGCTGAAGAGGTACATTTAAATTAAGATGTTAAGTATTACCTGAAAACCAAGCTATCATTTCCTAAACAACACAGTTCTCAACCTGCCTTTCTTTATATGTTCTTTAAACACATGGCAGCAATGGGTTGACAATAACAATGAAGGGTATGTCCAGGTCTACACCTTTAGTATGAGATCTGAATCCTTTCATGTTTTGGATCACCTGGAGTCTTAACCTAGTGGGTACCTCTCTACATTCCTATTTGGATCAGCTCTGTCACCAGATGTGACTCTTATACGAGGGACATCTTGAGATTTCTGCCCTGGCCTTTGCCTCTGCCTGAAAGGCCCCTCCCCACACCTCCACACTACCCCCTCTACCTTCTCCAAGTCTTTGTCCAAATTTTCCCTTCTCATGAAAATCATTCTTAATCAACTCATTTAAATTTGTAACTCTCCCACCTTGACTGCCCTCATCCTGCTCATTTTTTTTTCTTCATGGCACGTATCTTATTTTTTGTTATTGGTATTGCTAGAATATAAACTTCGCTAAGGTAGTGATTTTTGTCTGTTTTGTTCCCTAATCTCCCTCCAGTGTCTAGAATTAGTTCCTGGCTTAGAGTAGTTTCTTAACACCTATTGGTTGAATAAATAAATGGCTATTATTGACTCACCATTTGGGATGGTTCTTTGCCTTCTGTCCTCTAAATAAGATCAAATCATAGCTTTTACCAGCATGAGTAAAAGATGCTTCATTTTAATGATGATACAATATGGTCTTCCAACAGTTACCTCTGGTTGCAAAGGTACTTTTTCTTTGACATCTAATTGAGGCCCAGGAGGTGGAGAGGAAGAGGCCAGGGCAACCAGATGTTTCTAAAAACATGCTAATCACAAGTTCTTTCAAACATGTGTTTTTCTTTGAACCAAAAGGGCTGGACGGTACCACAGGGCACCAATCTACAAGCACGCTACACAGCAGTGGAAGTGCAACGCGGGGGAAGATGGAACTGAGCAGAATTCCTCTCCTTGTGACTACAGTGCATAGTTGGAAAGCATAACCTGGTAAGCTGCCCAGGGTCTGGGTGGCCGCCATGCATGGCCTCGGCAGCAGGCTGGCTGCCTGGGACCCAGACCCCAATTCAACGCCCTGGTGGTCTTGCAACCTCAGGCAGGTTTCGTAGCCTCTCTCTGCAAGTTTCCTGATTTGAAAAATGCAGCTAAAGAACGAACTACCTCCTGAGATCTGTGGGAGGCTTCCGTGAAATGTAAAGTGCTGGGACGCCTGGGGGACTCAGTCAGTTAAGCATCTGCCCTCGGCTCAGGTCATGATCCCAGGGTCCTGCTCAGCAGGGAGCCTGCTTCTCCCTCTCCCCAACTTGTGCTCTCTCTCAAATAAAATCTTAAAAAAAATAAAAAGAAATGTAAAGTGCTTAAAATAATTTCTGACAGGTTAAAAAAAAAAACAACCCAAACCAGCTAATGACTACTAGTTTTATCATCACTACAGCTAGGAGTACTAACACTGTTCCTATTATCATTCTAACAAGGGTAGATCCAGAGGAGCACGTGAGAATTAGAACGCAATTACTACTTGAGATAACAGAGGAAGGACTGAATGCAGCCACCACAACCCTTCATCTTCTGCTCACAAAAGCTCATGTTGTCCTTAAATGAAATATTCAACAAAGGGCGCCTGGGTGGCTCAGTCGTTAAGCATCTGCCTTCGGCTCAGGTCATGATCCCAGGGTCCTGGGATGGAGCTCCACGTCGGGCTCCCTGCTCAGCGGGGAGCCTGCTTCTCCCTCTCCCACTCCCCCTGCTTGTGTTCCCTCTCTCGCTGTGTCTCTCTCTGTCAAATTCAAAAATAAAATCTTTAAAAAAAAAAAAAAAAAGAAACAGTCAACAAATATTAAAAGAGTATGAGATCAAATGGGTACTGAGTTTGCCTACCTGGGGAGCCCACACGTCTCAGTCTCTGCTGTAACGTATTACAACAGGCTTGTCTAATGTTCAGAACGGATCTGTACACTTACAGGGTCCCCAAAAACTCTCCCCCCTTAACCTCTCCCACCACCCTGTTGGAGCATTTTCCCTCGAGAGAAAATCAGTGTTGGAATCAAGATCCGTGGGCAGTTGGAATCAAGATCCGCGGGCGGTTAGAACCAAGGTCACTCAGGAGGGCTGGAAAGTTCTAGAGCCTGCTCATTGCCCCTGGCAGCTGTGATGCACAGCATGCAGGCAGACGGTGAACTGGGATGAGTGGGGCCTGTGGGAATCTGGTCCCAAGACGCTGGTCCAGAGGACTCACAATGGGCGGGTGAGACACTGAGAAGCCGCAGTGGCCGCGTGGTCCCCTGACGTGATACTCACAATATGGGGAGATTGTCGGCTCATCCCAATCACGGTCCGGTTAATCCTTCTCAGCAGCCGTTCCATTATCAGCTGGATGTGCATCGCCGTGGGGCCCTGTGGAGGAAACACAGGAATTGACCCCACTTCTTCTGACTCAGCTTCACTTTTCCTCAACAAACCTTTGACGGGTGAGTTTTCTCTTTAGGTCTCATTCTGGCTCTTCCCTGCAAACCAATCTCTTGTCCAAAAAGGGGAAAAGAAGTTCACAGATGAACACATACTGTTACTTGGGAATCGGTTGAAAATGATTAGGTATCCCATGTAAAAGCTGAGTGTGGGGATGCAGGGGAGAACGCCTCCCTAGTAACCCAGACCCTTCGCGCTCACTGCAGGGTCACTGTGACCACCAACTCAATGTAGTTCTGGGGGGACACCCCTGGCATGAGAAGTCAGTCCTGATGCTGAGTACATGGTGTGGCCCAGGAGAACTAGGCACGTGCACGGGAATGAAAAGGTAAAAATTCAACATTCTTGCCACCTTCTGTGTAGGAAGAAAAAAAAACCCAAGAAATTCAAGTCAAGGAGGTTGGTATTGACTGAATGTATGTGTTCAAAAGTCATATGCTGGGGGCATCTGACTGGCTCGATCGGTAGAGCATGTGGCTCTTGATCTTGGGGTTGTCTGAGCCACACACGGGGCACAGAGATTACTTAAAAAAATTCTTTTTTTAGCTAAAAAAAGTTCTGGAAACCCCACAAAAGTCATATGCTGGTGCTTTAACTTCTCGTGTGATGGTAGAGATGGATTTTGGGGAGGCAATTAGGTCATGAAGGCAGGGCCCTGGTCTTATAGGGTTAATGTCCTTATAAGGAGACACCAGAGAGCTGGCCTTTTCTCTCGCCACACATATACTGAGGAAAAGCCACGTGAGGACAGAGAGCCAGCAACCATCGTCAGGCCAGGAGGGGGCCCCTCCCCAGGAACTGGACCACACAGGCACCCTGACTTTGGACTTCCAGCCGCCAGAACCACAGGAAATAAATATCCGTTGTTTAAGCTGCCCAGTCTAGGGTGTTTTGTTTTGGCAGCCTGAGAAGACTAACACAAGAATTTAATATTTTGACTTTGTCATGTGTCACTCTGAGCAATTATTTAACTTTGTTGAGCCTCTGTATTCATAGCTGGGATACAAAAGTTTCCCTTACAGGAATTAGCTGAGCTGGTGTACACAACAAACAGTGCCTCACAAATACGTAATTTTTTTTAAGATTTTATTTATTTATTTGAAAGAGAAAGGTAGAGCACAGAGGGAGATGGAGAGGGAGAAGCAGACTCCCCGCTGAGCAGGGAGCCCAATGAGGGGCTTGATCCCAGGATCCCGGGATCATGACCTGAGCCAAAGGCAGACGCCTAACGACTGAGCCACCCAGGGGCCCCACAAATACGTATTCTTTATTTTTCCTTCTCTCCTTCTTGTGATTTGATGTTATACTCATTCAGCTCCAAGTTAGCAATACACAACCTTGTCTTTCAAAGCTTTTATCCATTCTTGCTTCATGATAGATATTTTGAAACTCCTGGTTAATGCTTCAAGATAACTAAATCACTACTATATATAGTTTTATTAAAATATCAAGTATTGTTAGCTTCCCTTTCGTGCCTCCCTTCTTTCCTTCTTTGTTTTTATTATATATTCACCTGCTTCCCATTTCTTTGAGGGAATGTGATCCATAAAACCTGCCTCTCTTTTTTTTTATTTTTTTTAAAGATTTTATTTATTTATTTGAGAGAGAGAATGAGAGACAGAGAGCATGAGAGGGAGGAGGGTCAGAGGGAGAAGCAGACTCCCTGCTGAGCAGGGAGCCCGATGCGGGACTCGATCCCGGAACTCCAGGATCATGACCTGAGCCGAAGGCAGTCGCTTAACCAACTGAGCCACCCAGGCGCCCAAAACCTGCCTCTCTGTTGAGGCATTTTACCCTCTATTATGTAACAAGACCACACCCCAGACCTGGCTAGGTATGTGAGTCCTGTGCTGGCCCCGCGTGGAGGTAGGAGAAGGAATCAGGCATTCTCTGAGCCCTTCAGAGATTCACCTCCAGCAGGAGAGCTGGGGCTTGAAGATAAATAAGCAAAACACAGGATCCTCCTAGAAGGTCAGCTCCATGAAGGCAGGCTGCTTGCTTCTCTTGTTCACTGCTGCACTCTTAGACCTATCACAGTGCCCAGAGCGAGGGAGCTGTTTAAGACCTGTCTGCGAACTGAATCATAACTCAGGATACAAAACGATAAGGACCTTAAGCAGGATGTAAGGAGAGCACAAAGGGAGTAGCAGACTGGGGGACTTAGGGCAGGACTACACCAGGAGCGACCCCATGGAGGTGCTTACTGCAGGTGGACTTTGAAGAATTTGGACAGTGTGCAGATACAGCTTTGGGAAAAGAGGAAGCCTGGATTATTAAAACAAAGGCATAGGAATCATGTCAGTAATTAGAGCCTGGAATTAACTGAGGAGATGAGGGGATAGGGGAAGACATACAGGGCTGGTTTGAACATTTAAGAATGCTTATGGTGGGGGATAAAACTGTATCATTATCAATACCAAGAAATTATCAGATTTGCTACTTTAACAGAAGCTCCAAGATCAATAATCTTGAATGCTTCTGCTCATTACAGGGAACCTTATCAGGAAGACAAAAAAAAAAATTTATTCAACACAATTAAATCTTTCAGCGTAAGACGTAAATACATTCAAGTCATTTCCAAAGAGTCCTTCTGTGTGGTAAGAAGGCAGGCAAAGATATATTAAAATTTTTATATTAAATATAAATCTTCACATTTAATTTTTTATTTATAATATAAACAGATATAAATATATTTATATCATAAATATATGAATATATTTACATTAAATATAAATTTTATGTTAAATTTATATTAAACATAAACATAATTGTATAATTATATATTTATATACATTTATATATTTTATATGTAATTTGTTTATATATTTATATTATATATTATTTATATGTAAATATATTTAATAATGTCTAATTATATATTTATAAGTAATATAATTTTATATTAAATTTATATAAATATAAATATTTTTATAATTTATGTGTTACAACATAACATATATATATAATACATATTATTTTTATAATATATAATAATACATATTTAAATGTAAATATAAATTTATTATAACAAATTTATATTAAAAAAAGATATATTAAAAACAAAACATGGGGTGCCTGGGTGGCTCAGTCGGTTAAGTGACTACTTTTCCCTCTCCCTCTGCCCCTCCCCACCGGACTCGTGCTCTAATAAATAAATAAAATCTTTACAAAAACAAAACAAAACACTATCAGATGTGGAAGAGATCTAAGAGGCCATCTAGAACAATTCCTACATGTTATGGAATGGGAAACTGAGGCACCTGCAGATTTGTCTAAGGATACAGAGCTATACATGCGAATACCGGCATTAGAAAACAAACAGCGTGATTCCCATGTTTCAGATTAGCTTTGGATCATATACATAAACACTTCTAGAACACACTGGAGCCCTGCCTAAACCAAAGTCCCTGGCACACTGTTGCCAACCATAGCTTGAAGCTTCATTTTAGTATTTGGATTACCGAGTCATAAGAGTTACTTCTTAAAAATATTCTTATCATTATGAGCTGATTGGTCAAATTTATTTATTTGTTGTAAAATCCTTGGTTAGGAATCAAATCCCCAATCATAAAATTCCTCAGGGAAATTTATTATATTTTATGTGGTTTCTAGAAACACATTTAAGGAAAAAAAAAAAGAAGGGGAACATGACCTATAATTAATAAATATCCAATAAATAATACAAATTGTAAGGTGGGCTGCAGGGGCTTGGGTAGAAAAGCCAATGGCGTTCTCCGGCACCTCCATGGCTGAGGCGTGAATTAGCAGAAATGCAGACATGCCCGTGTGAAGATGAGCAGATGAGACCAAACGGGCGGACCGGGAAAGGTGAGCTAAGAATTTAGCTATGGGAAATTGACAGTGTTTTCAGCTCCTTTAGCAGAACTGAATCTAAAGATATTGGTAAGGGAACAGGCGTAGGCAAAGCCAAGAGTGTTTTCCCTGCTCTGTGGGAACACTGATGCTAGGTAGCCCTTGTGGGGGGGTGGTAAGTACGGTTTGTGCTCAAGTGGACACATTCTGCCAACTTGTCCAGCCTCCTGAGAGGCGGCCCTGCCTAGGCCATGGGCTGTGCTATCTCTAGAGCAAAGTAAATCCAGGCAGATGCAGCCCCAGGGTTTCAGGGAGGATGGGTGCCCAGGTCAGAGAGAAGATGCGAGATAAGAGACACATCATTTCCACTAGGCTCCAAAAGGAACGATTGGTGTCAGAAAGAGTATAAAAATGAGAGCATCTCAGAAGCCCGGGCACATCTACAACAGTCCTATCAGTACCAGAGGTAAAAGAGGGCCGAAGTTTCTGCATAAAAAATCTGAACAGGGCTCTGATTCTTCAAAGTCCCCTCAGGGATCTCAGTGGTGGACAAGCGGGGCAAACCAGCCCACAGCAGGCACCCCAGGAAGCGGACCTCTCCTGGACCTAGATTTGCAGTGCAGGCTCTGGCAAGAAGAAGCCCCTCCGATCACCTCAAAACCAGCCCAGCCTGCCCCAATACCCAGATTCTAAATGGCCTGGGCCAAGCCCTGAGCCGAGGAAGGCCCCGAAGTCATTCTTGCCCGAGGCAGAGGGACCCGTGTGTGCTGTGGTCTGCATCGGGGGTGATGACTCAACTCACCACATCCTTCCTGTCCAGCACTTCCAGGATGTTGCTCAGGAGCTGCGAGCTGGCCTCATGGTCGGGCTTGCTGGAGTTGTCATCTAACTGGCCGCTGAGCTGGTCTATCAGCAGCGGCAGCAGCACCTCTCTGCACTCTGGGGAAGAAGGTGCACCCCGCTCAGCAGCTGCAGCAGCCTCCCCTGAGGTGCCCCACTTCTGCCTGCAACTCTCCCTCTGCCCGATACCACAGCTGACCTCTGAGCTCCACCCAGCAGGAGCACAGCATCCTAGGCATGGGACTTCAGGCCTGTGGCTTGATTTTAAAAGCTAAGAAAAGTACGCCGATCACAGGCCCATAAACAAAAAGGTGTAGAGTATTCAACGATGTCTTTAGCTTTTAAAAAAAAATGCCAACTTGGGGCACCTGGGTGGCTCAGTCGTTAAGCGTCTGCCTTCGGCTCAGGTCATGGTTCCAGGGTCCTGGGATCGAGTCCCGCATCGGGCTTCCTGCTCAGCGGGAAGCCTGCTTCCCTTCTCCCACTCCCCCTGCTTGTGTTCCCTCTCTCGCTCTCTCTTTCTATCAAATAAATAAATAAAATCTTTAAAAAAAAAAATGCCAACTTGACAGCTGAAGGCTAAGTCCTACGAAAGGAATAAATTAAGCAAGTCACACTTCTCAAAAAATATTGGAAAGTTTCCACCCGATGGAGAGAATTTACTCTAAAATTTGTATAAATACTAAGTGAGCTTTCCTAGGACATTTCAATGTGTTTCAAGGACATTCTGATCATGTTTTTGCAGGCAAATGGGCTTCACAACATAAGGGGTTATCTCTCTATGATGTCTTCCTTCTGGGATCCTCGCTATCAGAAGACATTATTACGATGAGGCCAGATGTTCTGGACGCTAAAGGAAATGACTGTTAACAGTGAGAATACTTCCTCTAATTGGAACACATAGTGAATGCTTGCTCTGGTGCTCAAACACCCCATTTTATCATCTCATGTATCCTTTCCGCATGCTTAGAGGCAGAGATATCATAGCATACTAAGATGTCTAGTAATATTATGTTTTCTACTTAAGAGCATTCACTAGCTTTATGCACACCCCCAACTGTGCCCTTGTAACAGATGGAATTTCTAAGCAAAAATTCACAGGGTCAGAAAATATCAGAGCCAAAAGAAGCTACTGATGTGATCTAGTTCAAATCCTTCCCTCCATGGAAATGGAGGCTAAGACTTACAAAAGGTTCCTCGTGCGTCCCAAGTTACATAACCAGCCAGGGGCAAGGCCAGGAGGCCTGCCACCAACAACCCACTCACCTTTCCCTATTTCTGAGGAGTCTTATTGGTCCTCGGACCCTCCAGGCAATACATGCAACATGGGGTCACCCTCTGGGAGCCCCTGACCTAGTGGTAGCTCCAAAAGAAATTCCCAGAGCAGCCCCTCTCTAGCAAGCCTTGGGTTTATTGGAGAAAGACCAGATATTGGACCTCTTCCCCATATCAGCTTTGGGACAAGAGCACAGTGATTTAGACTCAGTGGCTGTATGCTTGTCTCTAGTTACAAAATGAAGAGCATTTCATCCGTGTACGATTTTTCTCTCCTCCATGCCCTCTGGCTCCCCCACGAAGCCCTCCCCCACCAAAACCTGTGACTTCCAGCGTTTGCCAATTTCTGTGGTGTAAATACGACCACTGTGGCCCATTTTCAGCTCCTCACGTGACATGACCGAGCATGGAAATTAAGAAGAGATACACACAATCCGCCCTCCTGAGCCAGGACAGGGTGGGGGGCCAGCACACCCCTACACGGCGGCCCCCTGGCTTTTGTTATGCAACAAGTACATGTCGAAGAAGACACATTTGTTGAAAAGAACCATCTTTCCTGCTTGCCTGCTACTTTCTGGGGTGTCCCATTTTGAGGACAAAGTTCTCTTAATTAATGAAAGACTGGACTGTTCTCATTAAAAAAAAATGCATGATTTTATTCTCTTAGATCCTCTTGGGAATACTAAACTGACTCTGCGCCTTAAAACTGGTTTCTCAGGAGGTCCTTAAGTCCCAACCAACTACTGGCAAATGTCAATTAGCAGCGAGACTGGAATTTCGGGGCGCGGTACTTTTAGGTGGGGACATACCGGACTGCCAGAAAAGATTGCTCTCCACTATCTTGGTCATGCAGTTCAGTTTCTGGCGAACTAACTGGTTGTCAGGGATGCTTTGAATGAACTTGCAGAAGAGCACGCTGCAAGAGAGATCCCAGAGGTTAGTATTTTCCTTCTGTCACACTGAAGGTATCATTCCACGGCTCTCCTCGACTCTGAGATCCGGGCGTGGAGAGTTTTCCCTGGAAATCTCTCCCAGCGCCCTGCGAGTCTGCCCCTCGGAGGTAAAGCCGAGACTGTTGCACGCGCGCTACCGTGCTCAGCCTCAGAGCCACCTCTGTTTAAACGCCCAAGCACGGTCACGCCCACCTGGGCTCTGTGGACCTGCCTGAACACTCCTCTTCTGCACAACCGCTTCCTGGCTAACTCCGCCCCGGTGTCGCTCACCATCTGACTTTGCATTGCTGGGTGCTTAGGGATAGGGCTGGAAGCGTATTATTATGTACTTTCTCCTGGAGTTAATTTCACGTCTGCGTGCCTTGATTCCCCAGAGAAAAGCGCAAACCTCTCTCAGGGGCAGGCTTTGTGTCTTCTTTTACATTTTCCACAAAAACTGAGCACCAGAAGGGGTTCAGTTAATACATGTTAGAGGAATAACAGAATGTGCAGCAGCCCAGGCCCCAGCCAAGCAGGGGAGCTGCTTCTTTGTTAAAGTCAGCGAACGTGCTCTGCTATTTACCTGAGCTCCACGGGATCAAACACAAGTTTGACGTCGTTAATGATGCTAGGAAGGTACTTCAGAGCTGCCCCCTGTAAGAAAAATACCAAAAGGCAAATTCAGTTGCCAAGCAGGACAAATGCAGAATGTATTACTTAATCCCAGGAAGAAAAGGCTTGCACCTACATAGGGAACTGCACACAGATGCTCTCGCAGTAGAGAGGAGAGCTAAATGTTGCTAACGGTGATAGCCTAAAAGCTTTTTCCTAAGAGGTCAGATGGCACTGCCTTTTCTTTTTCTTCATTATCAACAGGTACTGTTGGTTTGGAATTCATTTTCCTATCTAAGGAGGTAGTTAAGATCCTGACATCTCCCTCACAAGGTGGCCATAAAGAACAAAGAATAAATAATGATGTTCAGATCTGAATTCTCAGCGATGGCGTATTTTACATGAAAAAATTACTAATGATGAACACGATGGTGACTTTGGGCTTCTGGGAAGAATGGGGGAACTCAGAATAAAAACCTGTTGCCTGTAACATTGCGATTAATTGGCTGAATTCACACGGGCCACAGAAGCCTTTGGTGGGATGTCTAAAAGGATAGTTTGTCTGTGGCAAACTGCCATTTGAGAATACAAATGGACATAAAAGTTAAAACACAGGTTTCTCCTTTTACTTTTTGTAAGTCATACTAAAATTCACAGGCTTTCCGCGAATGATGATTCACTTTTCTTCTCTCCTACTGTGTCCAGTTCTATGTTGTCACAGAACCTCAAAAAAGAGGCACCCAGGCTGATACCATGCTGACCTTGATCTTGACAGCTTCCTCCAGGGGCCTGTCCATTAGCATATTGAAAGCAAGAAATAACTGGCGGATTGAATTATTAAATTCATCTCCATCTTCGCTTTGGCCATAAAATCTTAATAGGAGAAAGAGAAAAGCAGTCAGGTTTTCCATCTTTAACGACTGATTTTTTTTTTTTTAAGATTTTATTTATTCATTTGACAGAGAGAGACACAGCGAGAGAGGGAACACAAGCAGGGGGAGTGGGAGAGGGAGAAGCAGGCTCCCCGCTGAGCAGGGAGCCCGATGCGGGGCTCGATCCCAGGACCCTGGGATCACGACCTGAGCCAAAGGCAGACGCTTAATGACTGAGCCACTCAGGTGCCCCAGGGTTCCCATCTTTAAAAAGAGATTTTTGAAAAGATCTGTTTCCTAAGCAATGCTGTAGGCCCATGCCTCCCTGGTCACCACTCGAGACTGTGCAAAGGGAAGATCAGAGGGTGCTCCAAGATGGTTTTGGGGAGACGCCCAGTAGGCTGACAAGATATTACCACCTGGACAAGAGCAGGTAGGAATTTGTACGTCAAGTCCTACCACAGAGCTCTCCATTTGGTCCGCTATGGTCAGCCAGTCGGGAAGGACTCCTTTGAAGCTCTATGAAGCTGTCCGTCCTAGCGGTGTATGGGCATTTCCAGCAGAGGGGGGAACAGCAGGAAGCTGCTCTGCCTGAAGGAGCAGATGATCCCTGTGCGCATGCCCACCTTCCTCAGCTCATTAGCAGAACGCCCGATATGCCGGGGACTCCCCCAGCTTGCTTTCCCGACCCACACTCTTGCCACAGCCTACCCTCCAGCATCACTCCTGCCCTCCACCCTCGTTCTCCTCTTGTACTCTTTCCATTTCAACTCCTCAAGCCCTGATCATTTGAGCTGAGGTTTCAGACAACGGGTACAGAAGCTCCTCAAACCAGCAACCTTTTGAACCCAACCCAGTCTACAAGTCCAGGAAAGCCAATCTCTACACTGAAATGGCCAGCTAGGTGCTGACCTGCTCTACAATCGGGCCTTGCGGCACACAGGAACACCTCGCCTTCACTGATTCGTGCTGGTTTTGATTAAGGCACTCTGCTTGTCTTCAGGATTTGTCCATCTGCTGAAAAGTTGGTTCTTTCTCATAAGTCGAAATCAGAGGTCTTTGGCCCATTTCTCAGAAACATGAAAGTCCCAAATTGTAGTCCAAGTGCATTTACACTGGGTGGCAATATTACCACCAAGAGTAGGGATCATTTGGAATCAGGATTTTGTACACACACACACACACACACACACGTGCACACATATTTAAGTTCGTCTACATTCACCTACACCTTATAAGGGACTCGTGGAATGCCAACTCCCCTGAGAAAAGTATTCAGTCAGAGGGTTATTGGTCATTCTCAATTCATCCATTTAGCAGAACGAAAAAACAACTTTACTGGCAACTTAGTCCACAAAGTACCTCAAAATTAACATACGCAGAGCAGAAGCCCCCTGATTCTCCTGCTCCTCTTTAGTATTCCAAGTCTCAGCAAATTAGCACCCAAAACCTGGAAGTTATCAGGATTCTTCCCTTCCTCTCATCCTCCCATGGAATCTAGCAGCAAGCCACCTTGCATTCTTCATCTATTGGAGACGGAGCCACTGTATCTCACACTTGAACTGCAACAACCCATTGTGTGCTCACCCAGGGTTTGCTCTTCACCTCTGATGATCCACTTTCCACTTAAGAGATGAGATGATCATTGGAAATGTAAGCCAGATGTTACCGCTTCTCTAACTGAAACCCTTAAACGGCTTCCCAGTCCACTGGGTAAAATCCAAACTCCTTACTATGGCCTGCCAAGTCCTACCTCGTTTGTCATTCGCCTGCCACTCCCCACTCCCCCGCTCTCACTGCCCACGCTCCGGCAGCACTGGCTTCTCCTGATTTCTCACACAGGCCCTACAGAGCCTCGTGCACGCGGGCACTCCTCCTCCCTGAGACCTGCACAGGTGGCCTCCTCCTGTTTGGTCTCAACTCAAACGCCAACTCCTGGAGATGCCTTCTCCCTCCCTGGTCATTATCCTCCCAAGGCCTCCCCGGCCAGCCCTGACCTATCCGAAATAATCTTAAGGTTTCTTTCCTCACTATTCGCCTCCCTGGCTTCAACCCAACCCACAAGCACCATCAGAGCTGGAGCCTCGTTTCGTCTGCTACTAGACCCCCAGGACCCAGACCAATACGGCATCCTCGGTGCCAGGCATTTAAAAAGAGCGGACTAGGGGCGCCTGGGGGCTTAGTCGGTGAAGTGTCCAACTTCTGATGTTGGCTCAGGTCGTGATCTCAGGGTCCTGGCCTGGAGCCCCGCATTGGACTCCACACTCAGTGGGGTGTCTGCTTCTCTCCCTCTCACTCTCCCTCTGCCCCTCCCCCCACTCGTGCATGCTCTCTCTCGAAAATCAATCAATCTTTAAGAAAAAGGGGGGGGTGGGGGACACTAATACAAGACTGAGGCGGAGTTCTCAATGCCCTACCACGGGCAATTTACAATTTTAATTCTCCCTAGGTGTCTCCTGAATGGAGGTCAACTCCAGCCAGGAAATGAGCTCAGAAGGAATTTAAGCTCTGAGGAGGGCAAAGGGGCAATGGAGGGGGTGTGGGGTTCTGGGCGGTGCGGGGGTGGGGGGTAGGGGTGACATTTCATTTGTAGCTCCTGGACAGGGCCAGTAAATTGATGTCTGTCTGATCTAAGCAATCAGAGAATGTAGAATTCCAGGCTTGCTTTCTCCAATCAAGCTCTTGTTTAATGAGAAACAACTGGAGGGGTGGGGATAACCATAACAGGTGCTCAGGGACCAAGTTCAACACAGCAACTCCCTTAATTAATTTCATGGGCTATTTAACCACCCGAATCTTGGCTTTTCCATTGTCCTTCCCCTAAGTGATGTTGAAAACGATGGCTCAGATGCACTGCAACATTGCGAAGGCGGACACACTAGTGAGTCATCAATGGAAAATATTTTTCAATTTCATAAATTAAGATTTCCTTTCTATGGTTTTATGAGGATTTTTATTCCTGGACATCAGGGTTTGCTATACAAATGGTTAGGTTAAGGGAAATGTTCCCTCAGTGGGACACTCCAGGCCCTAAATGAATTTGTGGAAATTTAACATAACTGCAGAACGAGGAGCTAGCTATAAAAGAAGCCTGTCTGAAGAGAGATGGACTACAGGGATTCTGTATAAACCCCGCACTGGGTAAACACTACTCGCTTCTGCTAGGCAAGGAGGAATTGTCATTCACCCAGCTGAACTTCTAAGTCATTAAATGTTTTTAAAAACTGTAAAAATGTACAAAATCACTGTGGGAACTTTAAAATGCTGAAAGAGTAAAAACCTACTTAAAACCCTCTTACCTACAGTTTTATTCCTACTAAAATTTTAGTTCCCAAACCTATATTTTTGAAATGGGATCATACAGCACTTATGTCTTACCCTTTAGTTTTATTATTTAAGAACCTATCATGGTTATCTTTGCTCATTAACATACCCTTTCTCTTTCATCTTTGTTCACACCTGCTGGGTTATATTACAGCAGATGGGGTATTACCAGACAAAGGTGGTATTTTCTTTTGCTTTTTGTGGGTTTGGGGTTTTTTTTGCTTTTTATTCATGGTGTCAGATTTCTGCCCTTAAGAAATTTATATTCCTATCAGCATTATAATGCAGGACCAATATTTGTCCAATTTCATCAAAGGATAAATATTTTTAATCTTTATCAAATGCATAGAAAAAGATAGTATGTGTGTATGACATATTGATCGTATGGCTTTTTTTAAAAAATATTAATTAATTAATTAATTAATTCATTCATTCATTCAAAGAGAGTGGGGGCAAGGGCAGACAGAGAGGGAGAAAGAGAATCCCAACCAGGCTCCCCACTAAGCATGGAGCCCCATGCAGGGCTCAATGCCAGGACCCCAAGATCATGACCTGAGCCAAAATCAAGAGTTTGACACCCAACTGACCGAGCCACCCAGGCGCCCTTGAATATTTTTTAAGGAATTTAATTTATCATTTGGATTTTTCTCTTATAAATTATCTGTTTTTGTTTTCTATTATTTAAGGATGTTTATGATTCTTTGATTGATTGGTAAGAACCTTTCATTAGTAAATCTAATTAAAGGCCTTGATCTATACTGTACGTTGCAAACCTTTTTAATGTTAATTGTTTGCCTTTAATTTTATGATTTTTTTAAACATACCAACTTAAAAAACAATACAAATGCTCAAATCTAGACTTGAAACTCTCTTACTATAGTTTTACTCCTAATAACATTTTTTAGCATGCTATCTGTCCAGTTTCCAAACCTGCCTTAGCAATACATTTGAACAGTTTGGAAATCCAGCTATTACTGAAAGGTAGAGATGGCAGCGGGGTTGTGGGCATTCCCAGACAAGTTACTTCCTCGTTCTTCATCTCTGCTTTTTTTTTTTTTTTTTAGGACTTATTTATTTATTTTAGGGAGAAAGAGCCGGGGTGGAGGGGGGCGGTGCTCGAGGCAGAAGGAGAGGGAGAGTGGGAATCCCAAGCAGGCTCCTCACTCAGCACAGAGCCCAATGTGGGCTGATCTCATGATCCTGAGATCACAGCCTGAGCCGAAACCAAGAGTCAGACGCTTAACCAACTGTGCCATCCAGGTGCCTTGTCTCTGTTGTTTTTGATGGAGCTGTTATTCTAGAAATTCAAGCTGGGAATTATCACAGCTGACTTAGTTTCATCAGGTAGCTAAGCATGATGTCAGCAAAGAAACACACACCCGAGGAAATATCTCTCCGATGACAACTGCCACCATTCTCCATCTACCACCACCAAGCGCTCACGATCCTAGATTTGTACACCCAACGTCATGAGGTCCCTTGCTGTGCTAAATGCAGTCTTGCCACAGGAACCTTGCTTCCTAGAGCTGTCATCACCAACCAGGGCTTTCATCAAGCTGCACACTGTAGCCACCTGCATCCCTAAGTCCTGCTGCCATTACTGCCATAGAAATTCTGCTGACTCAAAAGGACTTTGCATGGGCCTTCTCTAGGGGATTCAGAGTCTACCACCATCTTCAGCCTTGGAGTTTTGAAATTTGGCAATTCCATGACCCGACCATGATCAGAGCGCTGAACATAGAGCATGAGGATTAAGGAAAAGTCCGTGGAGAGAAAAGAGACAGCATAAACATTTTATTACAGCTACCATTACCTCAAGTAGAGTACTCTAGATTGGATGATGAATCGAAACAAGTACTTCAGGGCTTTCAAAGCAGCGAAAAGCAATTCTGTCTTGCTGGAGTCATCTGCATTAGCCACATAAAAGTTCAGTACCTTGGAGAGTTTCCTTAAAAGGGTGAGAAAGAAAAATGTCAGTGGGGCAAAGTGCTACTCTGAGGTTTGGGGTATGTTCTGTAAGAAGGGAACTTGGCATACCGGGGAAGCAGAAATCACACCTATAATTACCCCTTCTAGAATATGCCTTGAGCAGGAAAATTAACTCCTTTGCAGTTGGGTTTCCTCACTGCAGTCTAGGTTTGGAGCTTCCCTAATGCTTAGAAATAAGGGGTGGTTTCTTTACTTTAGCAGGATTTTTAAAAAGGATCAAAAATGAAAGTTGAAGGGATTCAAACCATGAAGGCATTTAAATCTCTAGTATGTTATACACACACCCTCAGACGTTCCTGTAAGGAAGGGACTGTCTGCTTAATGTACTCACCTTAAAAGAAGTCTAATTCCCTCCAGTCTGCCTAAACTCTTTGGGATCCACAGAATGGTGAGGATGGGAAGAGAAGCTCAATCAGACTTTGGCTCAATCTGATGAAAAACAACCATGGTTTCTGAGCATCCCAACAGATAACACTGGGCTGGGATGTCAGATTGCTCTCTGTGTCTTTCCAGAGTCTAGGCATTTTCTTAATCGTTTGCTAACTTACACCTCTGGGAGCACTCATAACTTGACCTTTCTTTCCGTAAATCTCTGAGTTTCCACAGTATTAAGAAATATCCACAGCACACATGTCGAAATGATAAAGTCTTGTAAAGAAACCCAGATTACTACTTCCTGGAGTGTTGCATTCGGCTCTGTGGAATGAAGATCCAGCAATAGGAGTTCCTTACTTGCAGCTACCGCCGGCTTGCGAAGTGAGGCTACTGGATGCAAAGAAACCTGTCACGAGCCTATCTGCTGCTTCCCCCAATCCAGCGGGCTTCATGTCCATCATGTTCGTTGGTGATTATGCTACATGACACCTCTTTTCTGTCACTTACATTTTAGAACACTGCTGGATCTCCCATGCACATAAAACCATGAACTTTCTTGTTTGGCTCAGAAAGGACATAAAGGAATCTATAATCTGACCTGAAAAATCAGGTCGGCAGCCAACCTGATAGATCAGCAAATCAGTTAGCATGACCTGGTCTAAGCCGTTGTCAGAAAGACCTCTGCCGATCTCAACTACATTCCTGTCACTCTTTATCACATTGCTCTGCACAGTAGCTGGAATGCAGGGGGTGGGGGCGACAGGCTACATAGTATGCCACGGTGAGGTGGGCTGAAGTTAGTTGCTTTCCTAGTCAGAGGCTCATAAACCAAAGACAGAAAGGAGACTGCACTATGGAAAAGGCAGAGACCATTCTCCCTTATATAAAAGAAAGAAAAATTAAATCATCTCATATCTTGTAAGTAATAAAGTCTACAAAGCACTTGTGGCGTAGGGCTGAGGACATGACCCTCAGTTCTACCAGACTCAGTCTTCCTGACACCCAACTCTCCTAAGATCCCAAGTATGATCTTCCGTCCTTGACTGTGTTCCCAATGCCTTCAACTCCTCATCTCTCTGTGTTCTGGATTCTTAAAGACATACAGCCTTATCTCTTCGGGAGCTTTCCAGAAGGCAGGGATTGCCTTTAATGCCTTTCCCAGGGGTGGAATACTTAGCTGGTTCGCTCTTTCCACTGGAAGCTTACAACAGGCTTCTGCACTTAGGGGCACACTTTCAGCTTATGTCCCTTGCATTTCTTAACAACCCAACCCTAAGAGTACAAACCCAACAACCCAACAGCAGGTAGTCCCCTTGAATCATACTTACACATATGCCAGAGTGGCACTGAAGTGCTTGTAGATGTAGGTTTCAAGGACAGGATTAAAATGCTGGAACTTGATGTCTCCTATCAGTGAGATAATAAATACCTGCCAAAGGTGAAAAATATAGATAGCAGCACTGTACGACCCCAGGCATTCATTCTGTCAACAAGCCGGATGTTAGCATCTTGGTGTCTTCTTTTCTTTCTCGACCATTTTTGCAGCATTCCCACTTCACTATTCCAGAGCTGAAGTAAAGTCTTGGAGTTTCTTTTATTTAACATCAACAGAGAAATTATGATGTGTCAGGCACTGGGCTAAATGCTATGGAGAATCTAGTAAGAGCCGGCCCCTGGCCTCAGGGAGCTCACTGTCTCAAAGAGAGGCCAGTGTGCAAGCACGATGAGTCAGGGAGGAAGACGGGGAGCGGCAGGAGAAAGATACAGAAGGGGTCTCCTGTGGGAAAAAGAAACTCTAACCCAAGGATGCAGCTAATGAATTATTTCGTGACCTTGTTCTCCTGAGTGCAGCATGAGTGCCCCCGATAATTGAACTTCATCAGACTTTTGCCTCTCAATTTCCCCTTCTTCTGTGAATGGCATCCTTATCAGGCTCATAATCTATGAACCACCACACCGCACCTACTGATGACAGAAGAATGCAGGAGAAGGGCCCCGGGGATGCCCGCAATAGACGCACTGCCAGTTGCTCTGTCCACAGAGCCCAGACCCGTTCTTCCTCGTGAATCTGGCCAGGTGCAATCTTAGCTGGAGCATTTCCTCTCTTTATCTTATATCCTTAATGCCCTGACCACTTCCTGAATGTATCAATTTCTCCAAGCTGGTGAAACAGCTAACATTCCTTTCCTGCAACATCCAGGTAACCCCAACAACGAGAAAACGTTCTTGGTTTGGATGTGTCAGATTCCTCCACTCACTCCACCACAATTTGTAGCCTTTCAGAGTTTTTTTTATTTTTTAAGATTTTATTTGTTTATCTGACATAGAGTGAGAGTGCACAAGCAGGGGGAGTGGGAGACGGAGAAGCAGGCTCCCCGCTGAGCAGGGAGCCTGACATGGGGCTCGATCCCAGCACCCTGGGATCATGACCTGAGCCGAAGGTAGAAACCGACTAAGCCACCCAGGTGCCCTGCCTTCCAAGATTCTAACATCATCTCTCCTTGTCTGGATCTCAGTTTTTGGAATGGGCTGTATGTTGTACCGAATGAGACTGATATTTGTTTCTGATGTGGGAATTCAGTCTCCCTTGTATGAACACACAAGCACACACAACAGAGCCACAATGACCTTTGTTAAATGTATCTCCTGGTTTATAATTAGGCAATTTTAAAGCAAGTTAAAGTGATTCCTGATTTCTAATGTGATACAATACCTTGTTTACCCTAATGAGAAAGAAAGTATATCAAAAAGTAAGATCTAAAGGTAACAGAAAAATAAAGTCTTTGAACATTAAGTCAGTTGTTTCTGACTTTAAGCTAAAGACTAAAGACTTTGAACATTAAGTCAGTTGTTTCAGTTCCATCAAATGGATGCAGATATAACCCATCCAGAAACAGAGATGTATGCAAGTGTTTATGCAGGAGGATATTCGTCGCAGTCATTTATAATAGCAAAATACTGAATACTACACCATTTTGAGAATAAACTAGTTAATGTGTTTAACTGCTTACCAGTGCATCAAACACAAGGAAGTCATAGGTTTCATTGTCTGACATTTCCATCATTATGTTAAAAAGTGCATCTAGTGTATCTTGCAAAAACTGAAGATAAAAAAAAAGAGAGAGGTTATTTCATGCTTTCAGTTCAGCTCCATACTGTAAAAATTCAGAGAAATTAGGAGACTAGGAAAGATGGCGGAGGAGTAGGGGACCCTATTTCAACTGGTCCCCGGAATTGAGCTGGATATCTACCAGACCACTCTGAGCACCCACGAAACCAGCCTGAGATGTAAGAGGATCTGGATCTCTACAAACAGAATATCGCAGGCGGTTGGTTTCGAGGTATGAAGCAGGGAGCCGTGATTCCGCGGGCAGATATCGGAGGATAAACGGCAGCGGGAGGGTGCCTGGCCGTGGGGATCCTACACCGCCGGTCAGTGACAGCCTCCCGCGCTGGGGACAGGGCACAGACTCGCAGGCCAGGCCGGTAGCGGCGGGGAAAGGACTTTAGGGCAGCCCCCAGGGCGGAAACCCAGAGCTGCGGGGTTGCATGTGTGACCTGGGGGCGACTGGCGGTTTTAGAAGCACAAAGGGTAGAGACGTGCCCCAACCTGGAGGCAGGACTGGGAGCGCTGCGGAGGGGCGCACAACCCAGGACGCTGCAGTTTATAGCAGCACGGACAGAAATGGAGACGGTGTGGTCTGGAGAGCTCACTAAAGAACAGACTGTGGTCTCTCTGCTCTGAGGCAGAGGGTTGGAAACGGTCTCTTCTGCTCTGACTCGCGGAAGAGACGCAGAAAGCCACCAGGGAAAGGTGCCAGAGAACTAAAACCCCAAAGACTGATTCCCACTGAGCCCATCCCCCGCCACAGGGGCGCAGGGCAACTCCGCCCAAACAGGGTTGCCTGAGTAACAGCACGGCAGGCCCCTCCC